CCAGGCCTCGGGCCGCCGCGCTCCCCCGGCTCAGGGAGACGCGTTTTCGGCAGTGCGGAGGGGGCAACCGTCCGGCCAGCCCCTGGCCCCTCTGAGCCCCGCCCAGGCAGAGGACGGCCAGAACACCCGAGGGCCGCAGCCGCTTTGGGGCTGTCCCGGCCCCTTCCTCCCACACTTCCGACTCCCGTGTGCCTACGGGCCCGGTGGCTCCCACTCGGGCCTCTGACTGCCCATCTGTGCAGTGGGGCTGTTCGGCCGGCTTTCGGGGTCCTGGGCTGCGGGGGGCCCCATACGGGCCTGGACGGGTGGCGAAGGGGTGGGTGTCCCACTCGACGCCACCTCTGCCCCGTGTCAGGCACCGTCGCCTGGCGCGAGTGTGGGCCCGGGGGAGGGAGGGAGAGGCCGGAGGGCCCTGCGCTGGAGGGGCGTCGCCACACCGGCCTCGGGGAAGGCGAGGCCAGCACCCCCGGAGTGCCTTTCGTCCGTCCAGGAGGCCCCTCCCTCCGCGAGGTCAGCCAGTTACCACGGGACTGAGAAGGGTGGTGGGCGGGGCCAGAGGCCTCGAATCCCACCTGCGGTGGCCACAGGCCAAGGGTCTCTTCTGCGGGACACGGTGGTGGGACTCCCTTGGCCGCCAGGGCACTGGGAAGCCGCTTTCCTGTCCCTCCGCCCGGGACTGCTTTCTCTGGGACTCCGCGTGCCCAGGCCCCTTCCCGCCAGGCTGTCCACTATGCCCCGCCGGACTCAGCCCCCGGCACTGGACCCAGAGAGAGACCCAGAGCGAGCTCACCAGACAGGTCAGGGGTGATGATGTTCAAGCGTGTGAAGACAGTCCTGAGGACTTCCTGGCGGAGGCAGAGAGAGCCGTGTGTAGCACAGCCTTGGGGAGGCGGCCCCAGGGCTCTGCGTTGCTGACTGGTCACCTCCCACCCGGGAGCCTGTGCTCTGAAAGGGCGCCGGGCAGACGGTCCTCGGCCGGAAGAGGTCTCCTGGGCGCCCGGAGGCCCTGACGCCTGAGTGCCGTGGGAGCACCCCACGGGCGCACTCTCTGCTTGGGAACACCCCTCCCCAGCGGTCTGCATGCCCCGGGCGCCACACGCCAGGCCCGCAGCCACCCGCCAGCTGCACCAACCTGGGACTCGGTCCCGGCACGCAGGGCTACGGTGCAGCTGAGGGTGCCGGCCGTGGGGGTGGGCGCCGTGAGGTCCCGCAGCAGGAAGCTGAAGCGCACACCGCCCTCGGGACTGGGGGCCAGCAGGTTCGCGCAGCCGCCCTTGGCCTCCCGGCCCTGGATGAGCTCCACGGTGTCCCCCTCGGGCCCCAAGTCCAGGTGGCAGCTGTCTAGCTGGAGCAAGAGCTCGGGGCTCGCCGGGGACACGCTCACCTGCAGGCAG